AACCCAGTATGAACAGTACTGCAATGAACTGCAAATGTGTATCCTGTTACATATTATAAAATACGTATTTTACTACATGTTATATGTTTTGTGTGTATAATGGTCCAAAGCTTATAAGGACTAAACACAGTGCCAATAATAATAATACAACAAAGGAAAACACCCAGGAAGATGAATTAACTGGAAAGGATTCCCAAGGAAAGTCTATGTTCTCGTCATTATAAACTGATGATTGCCACAGTGACAAACATTGTTTTATACTGTGAAATAATGAAAATGTACATTTTCATAAAAATTGGATATACTCCATTAAGGAAGTATTTTGAGCAGAGGGACTAAAAGTTTACTGTGCTCAGTTTATCTAAATTATTGATAATACTTTAGTTTTATTTTGGTACCTAATGTGGAAGCAGTTTAACTGCTGGCTCCTGCTAAGGCAGCCCAAAGCAGAGTTCCTGCTCTGTTCTAAGTGCTGCCTGCTGCTGTAGAACTACAACCAAGGTGCAACATCCATTGAAAAAATAGAAGAGGAAGTGTGTTTAAAGTTTTTCAGTGTTTTAATTTTAATATATCACAAAGATATGTAAAGGTAGGCATAGAAGCCAGCTGTTTTACTTAATTTTATAAAAGTAAAATGTGACAGACTCCGGGGTCCTTACTTTTCTGTAATCCTCTAAGCTCTGAGGTAACACTCCTAACTATCAGCCATTATCTTTCCATTTATCTGTTCACCAAAGAATCTCCTCTCAGATGAAAAAGAGATACTTTTAAAAAGTTTAGAAAGGTTTCCTTACTACTCAATATCACCAAATCAGGCATTTTCATTAAGTCATATTATACCTGAAGTGCCTCTGAGAACATTCCAACTGTATGTTACAGTTTTATGATAATGCACTTGTCCTTTAGCTTACCCTAAAGAATTTCAATGTTAAAAACACTAAAGTCTTTAATTTTCTAATGCCAGCAACTTAAATCATTTCAAGTCAAAATGTACAGCTTTACCCTTTTTCCAATGTATCTGTTGATTACTAACCATCAATTAAGGAACGTGAGTAACTTGGAGTTGACCATGGTAACCATTTATTAAAGTACAAAATGAGTTCCTGATATTTTTACTTGAGACTATATCTAATCTAGACATTTCTTTCAGTTTATTTTAATGGAAAAATGTTGATTTTATTATATGATTTTTAAAATCAACATTGCTATCATTTCTCCTTTTGCTAGATTTTTATTGTACTGCTTTGAACATATAATATTTGAGGGCTTTTCATATTTTACCTTTCCTATCATTCTTAATGAGTTCATATACGTCAGTGAAATCAATAAGATATAAGGTTGATGATGATGTTATAATGTGCATTACCAGCTAAGTTACTGAATTCCAAATTCTCTTCTCATTTATTATATGATACATTGTATGGTTTAATTGAATTTATAAAATATAGATGATTGAAATACATAATGCATGAGCCATGTGATATGATGATTTAGTTTCTTCATAATAACCTTGATTTCAAACTCTCTGAATATGTATGTAAGAATTTAATGAAAGAATGCTTTCTATCACTGGTCTGGGAGAACATGTTGGCACTCTTGGTATTCCACCATTGGGGACTCCTTTATTATTGATTTTATCATTAGTCAGCAGTGTGAAAAAAGAGAAAACAATGCCCCACTAGGATATTTATTAAAAGTATCTCATTACAAAGAGGAGGCTGGAGTTTAATATTTTTGTATTTTTCATACTGTGGATTGAACCCAGTGCCTCATGCATGTTAACATATGTGCTACAACTCAGTCTCTTCAATTTTAGTGTTATATAAGTATATTCTAATATAACAAAGCGGTTCTATCTGTTACACTTATTTTTAAATGTGAAACTTTCATTTATGCTCTTAAAACATAGAAATTAAACTTTGTACTAGAATTTTCAGATATTTCCAAGTATATTAAAAGATTTTTAAAGAAGTAAAAATTCTTTATGTCTCTGCAATTATATTTTGTGTGCATTTAAAGACAGCAAATGTAAGAAAATTTCATTTTGAGAAACTTTGCTAGTAGAGTGCTTAAAATTACTTAGGCTTCCTTTTTGTTAATGCTTATTCATAGTAAGCTCAACTTTGCTTTTATTATTTCTTTGACTTATACTGAGCTGATGAGTCAGTAGGGGCAGTCATTCTTATATTTATCTATATTCTCATAACACTGCCTATCATTTACTGTGTAATCTTACAAAACTTCCTATTCATGCATCCTGTCCCTAAAACTTAACTGCAAACAAATACATTTATACATTATATATGGAATATAAACTTACATATATATATATATTTTTTATATATGAAAATAAACTTTTACTCTTAAAATTATTCAGTTAAAATAATCCCAATTTGTGTTGTTACATAAGATTCAATATAGTTTTCAAATATAATTCAAAAAAGGCACATGTCAAAACTAAAGGTTTCACTTATAAAACATTGTCGATTTGGTAGAACAGCCTTTCACAAGAAGGAAAGCAGCAATTAATGCCACCATTAGTTATGCTGAAGCATCACTAAGGTTTCTTTCTAAATGTCATTAACTATATTTCAGTGCTCCAGAGACTTGTAACATAGTACTTCCATTCAGTTGTTTCTGTAAGAAGTACAGACTCCCTCATTTCTTTGCCATCTTACAAACTGAGGTATGTAAATCTCTTATCTCAGACATAAGTGTTCATACAGAAGCTTTAAAGGTACATTTGAGTAGAACACTCTTACTTGAAACCAAGTCTTATAATTATGAATTTCCAGCCAGAAATGAACTAAAAAATTCCTGAAACTGCAGGAGAAAAAAAAATTATTAAAATAATGATACCCCAAAAGAGAAAGAAAACATGGAAACAGCAGTGGAGTGGAGGATCCAACCAAGAATACCACATTATCCATTCGGAGTTATGATTTGTGAACTCAGGCTCTCAGCAAACATTACATCATGTCCATGATGAGCAACAGGTGGTTAAGGGGAGGAAACGATACAGCTTATCTTCCTTGTGGCTTTCAGAAGTCATCCTTACAAAAATTAATTGTCATACTGAAATGACAAGTCTAAACCCTTTATAAGATTTTCTAATCAATCATTGTTATATTTTCATGTACTACGTGCACTTCCAAACTGACAGTTATTCAAAATATCTCAATGAACACCTTTTGTAAATGTACACACAATTTTGGAGGCTTTCCACTGAAGGCATAAAAGAATGTCTGAAAATACTACAGCAATAAAATAATCCCTCTCTATAGAAGTTGGCTGCACTAACTCGACAGTGTTTAGTTCCACAGTGGGCATCTCAGTTTGCTAGGATAGCTTAAACAAAAAACATGCAAACTGAGCAAGGGTAGGCTGCTCACTTTGCATAATTCAATAAAGTAATTTAACTAAATTAAGAGAACTCTATGATCTGCAAGATTGAAAATATGTTCTAATGAAGAAAGGCCAAAATTCATTTTGAAACACATTAACCAAGTATTGACAACATTTTTCATTTCATATACATATTTTCTTTTAACTAAATGAAGGCATGATAAAACAGAAATTCTCTCCAGGTTCACAACTATCTCATTTGCTTCTTTACTTTTTACATTGGATGTAATGTTATTATAAGCTTAAAATATGTAAGCATTCAGCAGCGGAATGTTTGAGCTTTGTTGACAAAGCATGTACCCTTAAGTCCTCCATTAAGTAGCATCATTATCATTTTTCATCCTATCTGCCCAGCCTCAACTAGCTACACCTAAATTTAAAGTATCTTTGCTTCAGAACCCCTGGGTGGGATTTGGCTTGCCAGTTACTTCATAGAGGGGCAGCTGGGAGAAAGGGGTAAAGAAACCAAGACGAAAACTAGCCCCAAGCTTCCAGTTATTTTCCTAAATCCTGACAGAGTGTCAGCTGGTGAAAGAAGTTAACTCATCTCCACGTAGAGCACTGCAGATGGCCTCCATAGAAATGCTCTCAAATGTCACCGGAAGGGTTGCCAATGTCTTTGTGAATCACTCTGGCTCCCTACAGGGTGGCTGGAGGCAGTAATCCGCGGTCAGCGCAGCTCCTCACCTGAACACCAAGTTGGATGTGTCCTTAGGAACTGCGCCCAGGACAGAAGCCTCTCTCTCCTGGCTCCATGCAGATCAAATGGAGAAAAAAAAAAAAAAAAAAAAAAAATGTCTAGCAGTCCTGGCCTCTGGCTCCAAGCAAAGGAACATCCAGCTTCTCTAAAACTAGCTCCCTCTTAAAAACCCGTAGAGAAATTCTCCCAGGGGTTCTACAGTTGAACACTTTCATCCTTCAGAAGATCCCGGCAGCCTACAAGATCCCTGCACCTTAGATTTTACCAGGGTGCTTAATTTTGAAATAAAACGTAACCAAATGCATTGCAAACACGTTATGCATTAAAGTGAATGCTGAAACTCAAATCAGATGGGCAATTTTATGTAATCAAGAGCAGTTCAACTTCTGCCTACTGGTGCCGCCAAACAACCTCCCACTCTTGGAGAGCGGGCATTTATAAATTTTACATCTTCCTGCCTCCTCCCTCAAATTCCTTAATGGACCATTAGTAACGGATCGATCCTGGTTACTTTAGTAACAATACAACGCGAAGGCACATATGCCGTGTTGACTAGCGCCAGAAACACCATTCAAAAGTTGAGAAGGTAGAGCCAGCACTTTGTAAATCTTTGGGGTTTTGGGGTAGAGGACCAGGGGGACAGAGGGACAGAGGGAGGGGGTTCAGTGGGAACCTGATGGGATCCCAACTCCTGTGCACCACCAAAGCAAGTGGTCCCTTGCCCCAGCCGGGAGGAAGGCAGCCGAGCTGCTAAGTTAGCGGCAGTGCGAAGCTCTGAACCCCCAAATCCCTTCCTAGGAAAACAGACCCCACTCCCACCCCTCCCGGCCCCTGCAAGCCCTCGCCACAGAGCTGAGCGCGCGCGCGTCTGGGGATGCGAGTGCGCAGCACTTACGTCTCGGAATTTGTTCCACTGTCCGACTTCCTTGTCATACTGAGAGATTGTGGTGAGCCATTGTTTATCATCCAAAAAATTACCGCCGTCCGACCGCCCCCCGGCCGCAGCCACGGCCGCGGCGGCCGCGAGAGCCTGACTGCACCAAGCGGCTGCACACACACACAATACGGCGGGCACCGCGAGCATCTGGAAGGAGAGACACAGCCGGGTTGGGAGGGTGCAGGCAGTGTCAGACAGGGGTACGGAGACCGGGGCTCCCCAGGAAGACATGCATCGGCAGCGATAGGAGCAGAGGGAGGCAGAGGCAGGCAGGAACGCGGGTGTCCTCTCCCCGCCGGATGCGCCCCCAGACCCCGCACTCATGCACACGCAGACCCCGGGAAGAGAGCGGGGATCAGGCAGGAAGCCCCAGCCTCGGGACCCTCAGCGGGCAAAGAAAGAAGCCGTTTCTTGGCACATCACCTTGCTGTGCGCCGGCTCTGAGCTCGCAGCTCCTGCTGGAAACGCAGCCCAGCCTGCAGCTCCCTGCTCTCGGGAGCTGCCGCACGCGCCGCCGTCTGGAGCCGTCCACTCAGCTCCTGCGCCCGCGCGCGCCCCGTGCCCACCCTCCCCCCGCGCCCGGCGCCCGCCGTTCCCCTCGGTTCACCCGCTCCTCCTTCCCCACCTCCTCCTTTCCCCTCTTCCACCTCCTCCAGGCCCACCTTCCGCTCCCGGAATCCCAGCTGCAGCGAGTGAGTGGGCTCCGGATGCGACGCAGCGCTGGAGCCGGAGGATGCCGGAGCTCCGGGCCTAGAAACCCGCGTCTGCTTTCTAACATCTCGCCTCCGAAAGAGGCTCTCCGAGCCCGAGGCAGCTTGCTGGTTCTCCCTGCGCCCGGGGTGATCTCTCTCGGAGTCCGCGGTCTCTCTCAGTTGCCCTGCTCTGCGATTTCCAGGGTAGTCAGGTAGATGTGCGAAATGAGATCTGAAGAAAACTTTATGCTTCACCAATTGCTTGGGTTCTTTCTAGCCTGTAAACCTGGACTGAACTCAGCCCTGGAGCGAGGCCATCACCGGGTCTGGGCAGATCTGCCTGATCAAGAAATGCAGTTTGTTGTGGGTATCTGGACTAGGTTAAAGACATGAACAGGTTCTCTTCCCTTTTTCAAGGTAGAATTAAATAGGGTCTTTTAGTATATGTAACCCTCACGCACAGTGTAAGTGCATTTTAATGGCTTTATAGAAACTCCTTGGTGACTGTGTTATGTTCTAGGATGGGAATCAAAAACTTTAAAGGCCTCTGTGTTTTTTTTGTTTTTTGTTTTTTTTTTTTTCCCTGCAAAAGGAGAAGAGTGCTTTGATGCCCTAATATTTCAATTCTTCATGACATATATATATATATATATATATATATATATATAATCAATTAAAAATTACCCCCTATAAACAGAATCAGCTGAGTGGACACTCCCACATGCTTAAAGGCTTCAGGTGAAGTGAGCATTACATTGCAATTCAAGAGGTTTCTGGAAGCCAAAAGACTACATAATGTTCTGTGTCCATATTTGAATTATTAGATATGTTTTCCAAAACCCTAGCTCTCAAAGCTTTGAAAAGGTTTTGCAGTTCCCAAAATTTCAGGAGCTATTTGAATACCAAAAAGGCCTATTATGTTATTTCCAATTCAATCTCAGATGACAGTTGTGTAACATTTTTCAAAAACGTTAAAATGTAAATTAAACAACAATTGCAATTGATTTATAACTTTAAATGTGGGGTTGCAATCAATGTGTAACAATTTAAATAAAAGGAAAAGCTACTATTTTGAACTCATTGAATGACATTAACATGGAAAGCTACTATTTTTAACTGATTAAAAGATGTTTTCTGTAATTCCCCTCATTTCTACTATGCTGAATCACAGGGAAAGAGCACCGAATCTGCCACTGCAGTTCACAGAAGCCCTAACTGACATAAACATTTATCAGATAACTTAGAGGACCCTAATGTGTCCTAGTTTTCCAAAAGGAGGAAATTACCTTAGGCTAGTTGTGGGGAACCTTTCCATGCACTTTAGATTGTTTAAATTCTTGTTTGGTAAGTGGTTCACCCTGTCATTATTTCTTCCTGTCCTGTGGTCTTCCTCCTCTTCTGCCTCCATCCTCATCTATCTACATCAGAATCTGAAGAAGTGCTCTTGATACAATAAGAATGTTTCATCATGTTTTAAAATCTCATTCGTTTAAAATTTAAATCTAACAATGAAAACAGAAGTTATGACTTTGCTGAAATCCTGATGCATGGCAGATGTCAATAATGTTTAAAGTGAAAATGGCCTTTTAAAAAAACCTTTCTAGCCTATCTCTAAAAATGACATGTGTTTGATGTATTCTAACTTGCTTATCCTAACTTGTTCAAAGAATCTTTTGCTTCTAGCTTTCACTGACAACTATCCAAAATGTAGCACCAGACTTCTTCAAATTATAAACATTTGTGGACAAGGAATAACTGTACACATCTTGAAATAAAAGATTCTGATAGAGTAACTTCATATCTGATGGTACAGTAGAATCTATAAGGGAACCGCAAGTTTAAAATTCTAAAGTTGGAAGTGATAGTTCTTACATTTGTACTGTTCTGAAATCTATCACAATTCCCAGAGTTCCATCCTGCAAAGTCTTTACCATTATCTCTGCTAATTTCCTGCGCATGTTGTTTTAAAGAGTAATGGTTCACTCATTGTGTTGCTATTAATGACTGAAAAGCCTTTTCTGTCACTTTCTCTATATAACTGAACATTTGGGTCTTCAAAGAGCCTGCTCTCAACACTGAAATAGTCTTGAGAGGATTCACACTTCAGTTAACACTTTGGTTATCTCTTTAACACCTCAGTAGGGATTAATTGAAAGCCTGCTATGAACAAAACACAGCAAGGAAGAGCAGAGGAAGGGTATTGGATGAGAGGTAAGATGTAAGGGGGTTGGTGGAAAAACTTACAAGTCAAGGTGGGTGTGTAGTAAGAAGAACGTTTTATCATTGCTTCCCAGCATCCCAGTATCCCAGTAGATCCCGGTATAGGATATTCAAGGGTAAATAAATTAATGCACAAAGTGGAGTGTGCTGGGTAGCGTGGGCAGAGCAAGTCTCTGCTGTTAGGAGACTAAGTGATGGCCTAGGTCTGGGCTTGGCCATTATGTTTCTCTTTCACAAAATCAGAACTCCCAGGGAGAAAAAAGTTCTCAAATTCCCAGCCTTTTTCTCTGTCACTTAATAAATTCATCCCTCCTCTGGATTTTCTTACCCTCCTTTTCAGATTCACCACAGATCCATAAAGATAAATACAAAATATATAATGACAGGGGTCTGTTTCTAATCATCCTTGGAGTTGGATCTTTGAAGACCTCAATAGAATTTCTTTTCTATAAATACACAGTACAATTTCATTAGTTCCTTTTTCAGTATATGCTAATTGATTGTTGCCTCTAGCCATTGCAAGGGTAAATAGGAAAAGTTCAATTTATGGTACAATCTCCATGTACAAGATGCTTTACATACATCTTTACAGCCAACTCAAGATCTTATGGCTTGTAAATACAAAGGAATAACTTTCTATAAACTTATTTAGAATTATTATACCTCCTGCTTTTATATGTTTTCTTTGTTCCATATTTATGTCCTTCAGTTCCGCTGCCTGCATATCTCTTAACTATCTGTGGGGTATATCTTTTTCTGGTTAAAATATTTAGTCACTTTAGCAAAAATGATGAAAGGGAGCATTGCTAATTCAGGATATTTGATAAACTATGGTGGAAGTCATTCTGTTGTCATGCTGAGCCCATTAGTTAAATGATAACTGTGTCCACTAAGGCTTTCAGTCTCAGTGACACCAAACCAGGATCCTGGAACTCAATCCTGACTGACTGGCTTGGAAGGGACTTGGCCAAGCCTCTCACCCTGTCCTTACACAAAAATGTTTGCCAATCATGCAAATGTTTGTCTTTTCTTACAACTATCTCATAGAAGATAAGGAAAGATGGGCATTCATGGGCTTCCTGAGTGTCTGATATTACCAAGACAGATAATTTAATGGTAGACAAATTGTCATAAAAACACAACTGGTTTGTTGCTATTTCATCATCAGCATAGAAAAACATATCTGATTTGTAAAAGTCAACCAGGAGATTGCAGCCATTGTCAAATTCACCTATGAACTTAAACATGATCAAAGAGGGGGATAAAGAAAATCTTGGGTATTACAAATTCAGGACCAAAGAAAAGACTTGCTGATACCATCATAGGACATGTGAAGAAAGAACCTTTGAAATCCTCCTTTTGGAAATGCATGTACTGAAAACATGTAAATCTTATAATTCATTTGTTCTTAATTTTGTAGAGTGTGGGCTCAAAAAAGAAAACAAAATAGGGCTAGAATGAGATGCAAACAGGCTTTTGTTGTTGTTGTTGTTTCTTTTTTTTTTTTTTTTTTTTTTTTTTTTGTCTTTTTCCTTTTTATCGGTTCCAGGTATCGAACTCAAGACTGCCTGCTTACAAGGCAGGCACTTATGCCGCTGAGCTAAATCCCCAGGCCCTGTTGTTGTTTTTATAGATGGCCCTGGTTAAGCAAACTGACAATATATTAGATACTTAATTTGATAAACAGCTTCTCTTGTGTTTTAACGTCCTTTAAAACATTCAGTAGATAAATGAATTTTAAAAGTTATAATAAATATGAGAAACTTATCAATCAGTTCAGTTACTACAACTCATACGGATGCATTCCCAACACTTAAACCAAAGTGAGTCTGATTAAATTAATTGGTTAATGAGCAGACTACACTGAGAAGTGGCCAATGAGGCAATTAAAATTTGTATTTAAAATTGAGATATATTTCTTGACTTTTCAAAGAAACCATCAAAAATTTTCAATAAGCATTTACTGTAAGTATAAGATTTTTAGGGATATAAGATATAAGGTAAGGGATATAAGATATAAGAGGTAAAACAGAAAATAAAAACGTTTAAAATAATTTCATTTTAGGTATTGCACAGAATTGTACACATTCTTTTATCAAGTTTATTCAGTTTAAAAATCTGCATGTGAAAAACTCCTTTCTTTGAGTCAAAATGTTATTTGGCTGTGAAAGACTTTAAGATCCATAAAATGCCTGCATTAGTTCCAAATCTAGATCTAAAAAGAAATGTTTATATTTGCAAATGTTCTTTATTTTCTCATATTGTCTGACTAATGGAAACAAATCTTATGTAACATTCTCTATAAATCATTATTAGTTAACTATTTTTAAATAATAAAAATTTCTTCCCCCATTCCAGTGCAAATTCTTGACACTGAAGTTTTCCCTCTTGGATAAATATGGAGCTTTCTTCATGGAGGCCACTGTACCGAGAGAGACAGAGGTTATGATTATGATTTCTGCATATAACGCAAGGAATCTGTAGGATAAGAGAAATGGAGGAGGTACTTAATATGAAGCAGAAATATAAAAAAATTAAAAGTGATGAAAGTTCTGACTCAAATTTAGAAGATCATTTCCTTGGTGTTTATTTTTAAATACTTGTTTGTTCATCTCTATACGATGTGTGATAATTGTGAAATCGGGGATTAAAAAACATGCATAACTGATACCAATATCTCATTCCACCAAAAGTCATGCTTTTATTGAATCAGAGGGAAAAACACATAAATTAATCTAATTAGAGTGCAGTGAGTGAAAATAAAAAAAAAAAAAAAATTCTTCCTTAACCAGTAGGGTGATACTGAAAAGTAAATTAATTGATACTTATACAAGAGTTTGTTTGGCCTCAAACAGCTCAAACAAAGCTATTAGATTTATCAATTATTAACTCACTTAATCCATGGATTTTCCAGTATGAAACTTGAACCTGGAAATTTTACATGTTTGTACAAATACAGCATTTAAAAATCTCACATCACAGAAAAAAAAAAAAAGTTCTTTTCCTACAACTTAGTCACTAAGAAGGGTTATGTCTATTTTAGAAACTCCAACAGTCACTACAATCACATTGGTTTTGGAGGTAGTTTCATATGGAAGCCTGAAGAAATCCCCGTGAAAAAGAAGATGAGTGACCAAGGACAGCTCAACACTACAGCCCTGGCTGGGAGAAATCCTAATCAAATCTTTGATTTCCAAATGATGGATTAGCACATCATTTGACCAATGATAGGGTTAAGGATGGAAAATATAAATTTGTACTGGATAGCTTTCAAGAAAGCAAAGAAACATATTTTTTGTGAAAATATATTTTGGTGAAATATAATTTTTGTGAATATATATATTTGTACTGATAACTTTTGTGAAAACAAAGAAACATAATTTAAGATTTGCCTCTAGAGATTATAGTCTTAGTGAAGCAAACCAGACATATAAGTTTAAATATTGCTCGTTTTCTTTTCCATGAATAACCCTATATATAAATAAAGAAAAAAATAAAAGAACATGGGAAATAGAGCAAGTTTTTTTTTTTTTTTTTTTTTTTCCAAAAAGAGAAGGTGGCCAAGAGATACAGGGGGGTCAGGGGGCGGGGATAACAGGAAGGGAATGGAAAAAGAATTGTGATGCGTTTTGTGCACATGCACCCCCCAAGAGGAATGTGACCATTATATGCTGCAAAACTGTGGTGATAAAAACTGAAATAGAGAAAATCAGTTTTGCCTTATGAAATGTGAAGGATGGGAGTAATAAGTTGGAGGACTCTGGTAGGAACAGTATGTCTTACAGTAAAAGAAACATGGGTGAAACGATTGTTGGTGATCACATTTTAAAATTCTTAGTTCTTATCTCTCACACAACAAACCAGGCAAAGTGATGTAGCAAAAGGTGGAAGTACAGACAATTGTTCTGGAAGCACATTTTAAAGTGTATTTCTTTCTATTATACTCTCCTTAGCTGCTCATAAATTTTCCATGCTCACTGATAGTGAGATCTGCCCATGTAAGTTAGCAAACATTTTTCTGAAGTTTTAGAAAATATAGGGAAAAAATCATAAATCAATAATACAAATTCATTGTTATAACAAGATAATATCTCTTCTCTCTCTCTCTCTCTCGCTCTCTCTCTCTCTCTCTCTCTCTTTCAATAAACAACACTAACTTAAAAGATGTGCCTGCTAATGAAGCTGTGTTGTAACCAACAACACCTCAATTTAGGTCAGTCTGTACTCTGAATTAAGACTTTTTCCTTAACTGTTTTTTTCAAGGGTTTATTAGTAACAAATTTAATTTATTTTGTATAGAACTATTCATCATGTTTATTTTGACAGAGTTTGCTAGTTGGTGGTTTTGAAGAATTCATTAATTTCCTTTAGAGTTTTAAATTTATAAGGATAAAGTTTTATTTAGTATTCTTTTATTTCCTTTTGGAGGTAGTAGCAATAGCCCATTTTATTACCAGGATTCACAATTTGTGTCTTTCTGTATTTTCGTTTTTCTTGCTAGAGGTTTTATTTTTAAATGATTCAGTTTTCAGTTTCATTGATTTTTGTATTATTTTATTGTTTATAAACTTATTGATATTTATTTTCATTATTCTCTTCCTTGTGCTTATTAAGGTTATTTTAGTCTTTTTTCTAATTTTTTAAGTTAGGAAAGTAATTTATTTTGATAACTTCCATTTTGCCTGCATCAGCATTAGATGCTATAAACTTTCCCCTCTGCCCTACTTTAGCTTCACCAAATATTTTATTAAATTTATTATCATTCTGATTTATGTATTTTTTTCTTTCAAATTTCTTGGATTTCTAGCATATTTGGGAATTTGTTCTTTAATTTCTAAATATCTGGAGCTTTCCTTATCTTTTCTGCTTTTAATTATTCTTTGTGGATAAACAATATACGCATGAATTTGATTATTTTAAGTTTGTTGGTATTTATTTCATGACTAAAGACACAGTCTATGTTGATTTCTGTAAACATACTTATAATAGGCTAATAATGTTGAGGCTTTACATTTCTGAACAGTCTACCATTTAGTTTCACTTTTTAAACATAATTTTCTTATATGTTTCCTCTACATTCATGGGACATTGTATTTAATTATGTTGACTTTTTTATTTCAAACATTAATATAGCAAAAATTCTTGAGAAATATAGACTTTTATTTGCCCTTCTTTTTCTCATTCTAATGTTTTTCCTTCTGAATTTTCAGAGCCTCTTTTGTTATCACTTTCTCTAAAATTTGCTTTAGAAATTTGCGCTAGAGTTAGGTTTGTTAGTGATCCTTACTTTTAGCTTTCTTTCATCATAGTTGTACCAGGTTTAAATTTATGAATAATAATTCTTTTTAGTATTTGAAAACTGATGTGTCTTTCCATCTGTCCTATTGGGTTTCAGATGAGAAATCTGCTGTTATGTGAATTGTTCTCTAAGTAAGGTGGTCAGTTTCAAAATTTTTCTGTTTGTTTTTAATTTTTAGAGATACGGGATGTATATGATATATTGTGGTAGATTTCTTTGGGCACTGCCTCTTTGTTTAGAACTTAGTCTCTTGAATTTGTAGTTCATATGTTTCCTTTACATTCTCTTCTTAGTTTTTCAGATTTTGGTTTTCTTCCTTTCTTTTTTTTCCCCTTTAGATACATTTTCGGTTTCTCTGCCCAGTCCTGTCTTTTGACTTCAATTGTATTAATATAGAACTTTTGTTATTATTTTTCAGAACATTGAAATTCTATATTTTTCTGTAGTAGTCTAGTTTCCTTCCAACGTTCAAATTAGATAATTTCACATGATGTACTCACTGATTATCAAGTGCATTAACTTGAGCATCTTTTATCTTTTGACCTCATTCAGTGAATTATTACTATATTTTAAAATTCTGTAAGTACTTAATTCCATTTGACTTATTGTAACTTCTATATTTTGTTAAGATTTTCTAGTTTTCCTTTTGTTTCAACTACATTTGCAATAACTTACTGAAACATTTTGCTTTAGTGATCCTTTTGGGAAATACAAATGATTCATTTTGGTATCACCTTGATATTGATGTATATTGTTTTGCTCATTTTAGATGTTGTGTTATCTATGCTATTATGTTATGTGTACTCTCTTTAATTTTCTCTAGGTACCTAACATTGAATTATATACAGTTCTAGGTGGATATTCAGGTTTCAGTTTGGGTTCTGCCACCCTATGCCTAGCAAAAATACAATGCTACTTCATGCATGTGTTGTATTTTAGAAGATGCCCATATTAGAAGTTCAGCTGTACCAACAACTTTCCTCTGAGTTGAGGGGCAAGGTATAAACCTTACCTCACTGATGGACTTTTACAGCATCAAGTCACCATGAAAGACTAAGTCTAACGCTTTTATTTCTTAAGGATGAGGTTGGAGAAACAGCTACCCTTGAGACACTGGACACCCAGAGTAGGAATGTTAACTCTCTTCTTCTTCCACATCTCAGTTGATGAATGGTAAATTTGGAGGGTCAGCTCTCTGATGAACTTTGTTCACCCAAAGGATGGCCAGAAATTAGAGTGCTGATTAGCTGTCTTATGCTAGTTCTTGGTGCTGCTTACTGTGAGTACTCAGTGTGGAAGCAATGAATTGCAGTTTATTAACTGATATTTGCCTGGAGTAGAGTAGTTATTGCAGAGAGCAAGTTCTGTTGTCAAGCCACCCATTCATAGTCTCTCACTGGAAATCTCTCTCTCTCTCTCTCTGTGTTTGTGTGTGTGTGTGTGTGTGTGTGTGTGTGTGTGTGTTTGAGGATGTATTTATGTTCCGACTGACATTTCTTGTTTTGATCCTTTTTAGTGCCTTGTCTTGAATTTATGAGAAACAAGAAGGAGGTCAAGGAACTTACTTTCATGTTGCTTCTCAAGTGTTCAGGTCATTTGGCAATCCACTCCTCCCTGCCTCCTTTCGAGTCATCCTTCTATGATGTTTGCAAGTACAGAAACCAGACCTTGGAAGAATGGAGCTATTCTGTCTCTCTCAGAACAGAAAATTGTTAGATAGTTTTTAAATAATAAATATATTGGCTTCCATCCTGTTGGCTGATCTATCATTCACTATATCTGTCCCCTTTGGAAATGGTATCTCAAGGTTTGCTGAGCATCTTATCGCAAGTGATAAAAGATGGTGCTTCTCTGATGCATTTGAAGCTAAAGAAACAGGCTGTTTAAATAGAAGCATTCACTGAGAGTTCCTTAAAATCCCTCATAAAGATAAAAACACACATTTCTGCCAACTATTCTTATTCTGTATGTGGGATGAAAGCCTGGATGGCTAGAACTCCATCTTGTGGTCTCCATAATGCAAGTCAAACGTTGATGGTGACAGAACAACAATGTAAGAAACTTAGGTAGCATTTAGGTTACAAAGAAATAAATTTATAAATGATACTTTTTAAAATAACCTGCAATTTTTTTTATTTAGCAACTCATGTCTTACAAATAGAATGTGGCAGAAGTAATGATGGTTGACTTCTGAGGTTTGGCACTGAAAAGAAGTTCCCACTTGGCTCTGTTTCTCTCAGATTACTTGCTCCAGAAAACCGAGCCATCATGCTGTGAGAACACTCAGACAATCTGCATGGCCAACACTGAAATTCCTTCACAAATAGCCAGTTCCACTCAGACAGGTACCCTAATGAGCCCCTTGCAAAGCAGATGCTCCAGGTCTTGCTAACCTTTGGGGAACTCCAGTTGTGGCCAAGACTTTGAGTGTCATGTCCAGTGCCGCTTTCAGAAACTCTCTGGGCGAAGGATAGTGGGAGGATGAATAAATAAAAAGTTAGAATACAGAATACAGAAAGCTGAGATCAGGTGGAGCTTTCTCGAAGAAAAGAACTGATCAAGAGTTGCTGTACAGTTATATAACTTGTCAGGTTGATGTCACGTGACACTCTGCCTAGCAACCTGTTTGCATGGAAGCCTCAGTGCACCTTGCTTCTCTGAGCTGAAGCGCCTTGTTACCATGGTTTGCAGCTGGAGCTCTTTGTTCTCAGGACTGGCCTTGGTCTCCAGCTTCAATCGCTCTCCACATTTAACTACAACAGCTTTATTAAGGTCTCTCAGCCCAAACTGACTGGTTTCCTACTCCTGAATTTCTGACCCAAATATACTGAGACTAATAATAAATATCTAATTGCATTTAAATTTTTTATTTTAAAAAGCAAAACAGAAAAAAGGATGAAAAAGATATAGAATTTCAAAAATGTAGGAAATAAACACTAGTTAATATATTACATATTGTTATCTTAGAAGTAGTTGCTCAGGTTACAAGATCTAGATGGAAAAATGATTAAACAATACAAGATAGATGACTATGCTACTAATCTCTAGTTGCTTTTAAAACTGCTAAGTTTGGTGATAATTTATTATACAGTGATGGATAAATTGTACATGGTTTAGCTTATTGGGTCACTGTTATTTTATGAGGGATGTGTGTGTGTGTGTGTGTGTGTGTGTGTGTGTGTGTGTGTGTGTATGGAAATCTGAACCTAATCTGAAGCAGTGGACTCAGTCTAGGGCTGGGGCATAACTCAGTGGTGTAAGTGCTTACCTGGCAAGTGTGAGGTCCAGAGTTTGATCCCCAGTACCAAAAATAAATAAATAAAATAAAATATAGCAGTGGATCCAGTCTAATCAGGGAATAAATATGTTATGAAGAACACAGGGATGCAATTGGCCTTTAAGGAGTGAACTAAGGCTTAAAACCACCCTGATAGTGGCAGTTCTCTCAGTTTTCCTCTACGTGTTCTCCTGTTTTGCCATGACTGTAGACAATATCTTCTCCATAACTGAATGGGACCATCAATAGCTGTCACATAGTGTATCCATTCTCAAAGACAAGCTAGGTCTTTTTCAGTAAAAAAAAAGAAATATGCTACTGATGTCAACTGAATAGGTTATGAAACAGAAGACCTCAAAGAATTTGGGGAGGGGGGAATAAAAGTTCCCTGTGAAAGCAGATGGAGAAATGTGTGACCCATGGATCCATGTATGACTTTTATTTGGGCTTTTTTAGTGGGACTTAAGGAGGATCTCTTAGTTCATTCTAGTTCATGAGCTGCCTCCTTGCATAACATAGCATAATTCTATTTCTAATTCCACAGTAAAGATTAAGGTATTTTTAAATCATAGAAAAAGAAGGAGATATATTTATTCAACTTGAACCCTACTTCTTCACAGGAGCCTCCCTTAATTCCCTTGAATTTGACTGAGTACCGTCTGCCCCTGTGCATTTCTTTGTGCATTTCTGTGTTGAACTAATACTCTAAATATTTATTTAACTGTCTTACTCCCATGATACCCAGTTACACTCTAGAAAATAGCTGAGGATTGTCTTACAATCTGTGTACCTAGAGCACTAAGATATCATGAGTGAGAAAATTGGACTAGAGTTGTGCCTGATTGAGTTAAAATCTAAGAGTTCACTTCATAGTTTAGATTACATATAATTTTCTTTGCATTCATCTCTATCTTTTCTCTAGTTATTTACTTGAGGTGAGCTTCTGAATCTATGTAATTTTGAATATACCTAGGCATCCATTTAGACTATTTGATCCCAAAGAAGTAATTCATTCATAAACTCTACTCTTCTCCTTTGGTAGGATATTATTTATTTATTTATGTATTTATTTTGGTACCCAGAATTGAACTCATGCCCTCACATTTGTCAGGCAGGCACTGTGCTGCTGAGCTATACCCTCAGCCATGTTAGGATATTTTAAATGACATTAACATACCATACACACATATGGACATAAATGCATACAAACTCAATTAGTCTTTTCCGTTCTTGTTCATCAATGAAATCCACTCGGATAATTGGTTCAGAAATTATTCTTTAAATAGCAAAATAACAGACCACTTAATATTATTTACAATAATTACTTAATTCCAGTTATTGTCAACCAGTAAGAAATGCATTCAATGTATTTTTCTGAGAAAAAAGAAAAGTATTCCTCATGAACTCTGAAGAAACTTATTGTTAATTGCTCAAAATGTGAGATATGTATTTCTCTTAAAATTTGAAATTGAGAGATGGAAATAAAAGTCTCAAAAAGACTGCAGAATGCTTAGATGTTTGAAATATGGATTACAGAAGTCAAAGGGAATAGTTCCATTCTCATTTCATAGATGAGGAAGCTGAGAGTCAGAAAAATATTACACTGAACTATGAAGTCCACTAGCAACAGAATCCCTCAGGTGCTATGACCCTCTTAACCATGGAAGAGGAAATAAAGGACAAGTAACATCTGGCTAAATATGGTTGATAAATATGCATTTTCTCTGATTCTTGGGAAAGGATCAAATTAATAAAGGAATAAATGTGTCAAAATAATTTCGATGAAAGAAACAAAAATAATACATGAGAGAAGATTGTAACCTTCAACAATATTTATAAGCCAATTAAAACATAGGGATTGGAATATCAACCCTAGGATGCTGATTTCATACTTAAGCTATTCCATTAGATCAAACAAGCTATTTTCATGTAAATAAACCCATTGTAAGGGGGCTTTGTTCTCACAGGCTGTGTCTGCTTGAGTATGAAAATCAACACCTACTTGAGCCTCCTATTCTTTTCATAACCAGAGAAAGTAAATAATGTATTTTCAAACAAGAAATGCATTTTATATTATCACACAGAACATATACAATATTTGCACTTATTTTGTGGAAAGTAGAATCTGGTGAATTCCCTATTAAGTGTGGAAAGGAAATAAACAATCTCTATGAACAATATTTCATGAGTAATTTTTCTCTTCTTGGTTTTCTTTTTCTAGAACTGTTTTGTGTTTTAGCCTCTTCAATGAAAAATATTCTTTGGCCCGTTTTTACTAACCTCTTTGAATTTTTCTCTACTCTCAGAAGAATTGCCCTTCTTCTTTCTGGCAAAGTAATTCTCAAATTTCACATTATACTATTATGTTGGCACTTTTCCTGTGTGTACATGTAATTGCATAGGCTTGTTCTCTCCATGTTTTTATTTATTCGCTGTCTTTTATAAGATACTTTTCTTATGTCAGGTTATTGTTTTTATCCATACTTGGCCTCAATAGTTTGAGCAAGTGTATTAGGTTTCTATTTCTGAACCTCTTTCCAAATTGTTCTGATTTGATTTAGAAATATATCACATTATTATATTTGAAGCATTACCCTAGAGATGGTTAAATTATGAAGGAAAAATTCTCCTGTGATGGTTAAGTTTAAACTGTCAACTTGATTCACTTGAGAGCTACCTGGAGAATTACTAGACCACACACACAATTATGTATGATTGGATCATAAATGTATGCTCCTGGAGGGCTATATCTGGTCCTTGATCCCACCACCTCTGGTGAAGTTCTAGTGCTCTACTTTCTGAACTCCTTGAAGTAAGAAGCTTTGCTCCCTGACACTCTCTACCATGATGTTTTATGTTGGAGCCAGCAGAACATGGACTGAATTCTCTGAAGCCATGAGCCAAATAAACCTTTCATATATTAAATTGTGAATATCACAGTTTGTTTTTTGTTGCCTCATGCAACAAGAAAGCTAACTAGTCTCCTCAGAACATAGAAAGTGAAACCTTGTTTGGAGAGAAGCAAGTTAAAATGCAGTGAACTATGCAATTGTTCATTATGCATAAGTTAGTCTTCCCTCCTGGTGTGTGATGTAACCACCTAATCATCTATGCCTGATGACATCTCATGTAAAGACAATTTCTCCAAGAAAGAAAAATATTACTAGGCCCTGCAGAGTTAGGGAAAGAACCACTGGAGTAGGAAAAAGAATGGCAAGGTTGGTAATTTCTTGAGTGATCTGCAGTCAATCCTCTTGATTTCATTTGACCTTTATCTGAGACTCTACTTTTTCACTATCAGCATTTTATAGCATATGTCATCATCCTTGGATTTCCCTTGCTGGTTTACAAATAAATTAAAAATGCTTTCATCTTCCTTTCAGGTAACATTAAGATAGGTAGGGTAAAAGTTAAGATATGTACTCAGTTTTTCATTTTTTTCTGAAATCTTTTCCCAATATAAAGCTATTTT